TGGAGAAGCAGCGGCTCTACTCCGAGTCCCTCCCGGATGATCGAGCTTCTCACCCTGTCTCTAAGGGAGAGCCCAGACACCCTGCGGAGAAAACTAATTTCGGCCGCTTGTATCCGAGATCTCATTCTTTCGGTCACAACCGTTTAGCTACTTAAGGAGCTAAAATTTAATATATAAAAAATATAATTTAATATATAAAAAATATATAAAAGTAAATGTTATACTTTTATTTTAGGCTGAGGTAGCTTTAATAAATAACTAGTTTTATATTGAACACAAACATGTTTAAAACTTGAGATTTTCAGCATTTTTATAAGGCGGTCACTAGCTGTACCATGTTACTAACCACATAAACTATCGACTGTTTTTCCAACGTCTCTTTGAAAAGAACAAATCTTCAAGATCTGTTCATCCGGTAGCTGCAAGTTCACTCTTTTCAGACCACTGAAATAAGGTTTTTCAACACTTCTAGTAAATCTAACAAAGTTCAGTCAGGTCATCTGGACGGCTTCTTTTTTTATTTTTTATTGAGGCATTTCATCCTTTATCCAAAGGACTTCATCAGTCCGAGGAGCCACAACAAACAGTCCCACAAGCAGCACACTCACATAGTGGACCAACCAGTTTGCTGGTGATAAGGTGGCTTTTGGGGCCCACCCTCTCTCCCATTGACTCCTTTGAGACCTGGCTGAACTTTGTTGGATTTTCTACCTGGATTATTGAGCATGAGCTTTGATGAAACTTCTAGTAAAGTTTTTCATACTCTCGTTAAATTCTGTAGGTACAGTCTGGATGCAGGAGATCCTCCCACTGGTGCTGAACGGTGGAGATCTGACCACGCTCAACACAGTCGTAAACTGGGACCGAGTCCCATGGCTGGAAGAAACAAGGCTGGCAAAGGTTGTGGACCAAATGAAATCTCCACGTGCGCTGGTCTCACATTTTACCTACGAACTCATGCCCCCTTCCTTCCACACTTCCAAAGCCAAGGTAGCTGATTAAACACCTAGTGTCACATTTTGTTATTCAACAAAGACCCGTTACATTATCGTACTGTGTTCCTTGTAGGTCATCTACGTCATGAGGAACCCAACGGATGTGTTGGTGTCTTCATACTACTTCCACCAGATGGCTGCTTTCCTTGAAGATCCAGGAACTTTTGATGAGTTCATAGAAAAATTCCTAGAAGGCAGAGGTCAGAAGTCGCATCTCATTGAATTTACTCAGAGCAACATCTGATTAAAATCTGAATCATGTTTTAACCACCATGAAAAAAGATGGTTGAAAAATGAGGGTTTTGTTGATGTCGTAAGTCAGAGGTAACAGGCCAGAGAATATCTCTATTTTTTATTCAGTCTTTTGTCTGCAGTGCTGTTTGGAAAATGGACAGATCATGTGAAGAGCTGGAAACGTGCCGAGCTGGGAGACAGAATAATGTTCATCACATATGAAGAAATGGTTCAGGTGAATGAGTTTTTATATGTCTGTCGAAAGCAGACATGTTATGGCATTATCTCCGTACGTCCATAAACGTCTCTTGTCCCGCCCATAACTTCAAAGATCATAAGATCAAAGGTTATACAAGGTCATTGTTTGGGTCATTGCTATAGATTGCTGTGTTGTTGTACAATAGTTTGTTGTTGGGTGTATAATGTGTTGTATGCAGCACTCTTGTTAAAAATTAATGTTGTATTTCACTTGTTTCAATTAGTTACTGTCTTGAACAGTTTCTTTAAGATCACTGTTTATGAATTTCCTTTTTGGCATTCTTCTAATCCACATTTGAAGGCCTCCAATTCAAACCTGCTAAAATAACTGCTTTTATAGAAGTGCTTAAATCTTAGATATATCCAGATATTCAAAATTATTTGGTTACCAAATACTTTTGTAATTCCTATGGAAGCACTCAGGTTGTGATTAGTTTTTTTTTTTTTTACACTTCACCACTGCATTGTCTTATGCTATGTTAATAAATAATTAGAAATCTTAATGTTAAACGTTGCTCAATGTTCAATTTGAAAACACAATAGTAACAAAACGTAACACTTAAGAATGAAAATGACAGGTTATTGTGTAAAAGGGAACGCTTTTCTTTTATCACGACCAAATGAAGCCCTATATATCTCTTCTAGGACTTGCCTGCATCTATCAAGCTCATTTCAGACTTCCTGGGCTGTAATCTCAGTGAAGAAGTCATCCAGAAGGTTGGAGAACACTGCTCCTTTAAGACCATGAAGTCAAACATCATGTCCAACTTCAGCTTGGTCCCCAAGAAGTACATGGACAACGACAAGTCTCCCTTCCTGAGAAAAGGTGAGGTATCCATTTTTGTTACACAATCCTAAAAACTGAGACTGACATGAAAATAAAACTGAACATTCTGATGGTTTGATCTATAAACAATATCTTAATATTTGGGGGGTTTAATCACATTATATGATAGTATGCCAGTATTGTAAGATCAGTTGAAAAATACTATAAAAAGGTTCATCTCAGCCCCATTACTTTAGGGGGAGTTACATTAGTACATTAGGTACATACATTAGTACATAAGTACATTAGGGGGAGCGGTGGCGCAGAGAATAGAAGATGGGCTTGTGATTAGAAAGTCGCAGGTTCACCTCCCAGTACCGTCAACATCAAAATGTGGGTGGAAAAGGTGAAACACCCACACCTCCCTCCACCCTCATTCGCCCCACTCTGGGCCCCTGAGCAAGGCCCTTAACCCCCACCATCTGCTCCCTAAAAACAGGTCTTTCTTGAAAATGAGTTTTCAATGAGTGGCTCAATGAGACTACCTGTATAAATAAAGGGTAAATGAAAAAAAAAAATACTTAAAAAGTGCCTCTGCCAGAATTCAAATTCATCTTCTTGTGGATTTTTTTTTATATTCATACAGAATGGAACCATTCAAATTAAGGTAATTGTTGCCAACTTTTTTTAAATTTAGAATCAGGAATTTGCACTCAATAGGTTTTAGGAAACAAGAAAAGCTTCATGCAACAAAAAGTCCACATAACAGAAAAATCTTGAAACGGGCACTTCCAAACTTTGTCTGCTTATTCATGTTGCAACAACAAACCATCCAGAAGTAGGATATTACATATTTTGTTAAAACTAAACAGAAGGTAAGAATATGACCAGAAATTAAAATGGCTGAACAGTTAGTGCTAGTAACTTGTGGGTCAAAGCCAAAACTCTGTTAGTAGTATTAATAATTATTGTTATTAACAACAATGCAACAACTATTATTGTTCCAACATTTTTCAGTCAGGTCATCTGGACAGTTTCTTTGTTTTTGCTGAAACTTTTCACCTTCCATCCAGAAGGCTTCATCAGTCAAGGAAACGCACAACACAAAACTGATTCTTCCCCCAACAGCTTACTCCAAAGTGGAACAAACCAGTTATGTTGGTGCTAAGATGGTCTCTTTGGCACTGCCTCTCCTCTGGAGCTCTTGCCTTGTTTCACTTACAGTGTTAGGTTCAGGCAAAAGTAGCTAAAAGAGCAATTAAACACACACACACACACACACACACATATATAAAATACTTAATTACACACATTTGAGTAGATGTAATGAATTACTTTAATTCCTGTTTAAATGCAATTCATGCTGCCATACATGCAGTGTCTTCAGACTTTGCCAACAAACTAAAAGATGAAGCTTAATCATTAAATTATTATCTTTGTGTTAGATTTATTTATAAATCACATTTAAACACTGCTTGTACCAATTAAATTAAATAAAAAGTAACACACATGTTCTCTATCACCGTCATTAATCAGACAAACAAACAAACAAACAGCAGCTTCAGCTACCAGACAGACTGACGTTACGTTTTCTCTCTTGGACTCTTAACAATGTGTTAAATTGTAGAGACTCACCTGCAACACATGACGAGTTGGATCAGCTGCAGCTCCTTCCTCCTCCTCGTGACTCCGACATGTTTACGTTTATAAAAGCGTGGTTCTCCCGTGTCGTGTCGGCGATTTTCAAAGCTGCATGTTTCTCATTTTTTATCTTTGTGAAGAGCTCTGACACTTTGGAGGACTTGGGTCGAACAGTTTTCGCTGCATCAGTCATTTGTAAAATTTACTTAATTTCCTTTGAAAACAGCCTCTGCTCTGCTCCCCCTCGCTCTGTTCAACTCGCGCTGCAGAGTTTTTTTTTTCAAACTTTATTCAGTCAGTCAGCATTGACAATGAACTGCCCGTGAACAATCCGAAACAGCTCCGCAGCGCTGTGAAAGACGCATAATCGTGCGACACAACAAATCGATAATGAAATTCGTTGCCAACGCTTTTAATAATCAATTTTTATCGATTTTATCGATTCGTTGTTGCAGCCCTAATATAGACAAAGGGTTGTGTAATCTTTTCATTACACCAGCTCTATCATCAAGGTCACGAAGCAGTGTCAAATATTATACAAAGTCTTTGTTCTTCCATGCCACATCATTTGATCCAAGATCATTTAACAAAACTAGATACATGGGGGGCTGCATCACTGGTGACCAGGAAGCTGAATACAGAGGTGTGGTGGACAGAACCACCTGCAAGTCAACACTGGAAAAATTAAAGAGCTGCAGGTGGACTACAGGAAGATCTGTCCCCCCACCCCCCACCCTATCAACATTAAGGGTACTAAGATGGACACTGTGAACTGCTACAAGTACCTGGGGGTCCACCAGGACAATAAACTGGACTGGACAGCTAACACCAACATCCTCTACAAGAAAGAACAGAGTCGCCTTTTTCTTCTCAGGAGACTCAGGTCCTTTAACGTCTGCAGGACCATGCTGCAGATATTTTACCACTCGATGGTCTCCAGCATCTTCTACGCTGTGGTGTTCTGGGGCAGCAGGGTGAAGAAAGCTGATACCAACAGACTCAATAAACTCATCAAGAGAGCTGGTTCAGTTCTGGGAGTGGACCTGCAGTTTCTGACAGGTGTCTGAGCAGAGGATGCTGAGGAAACTGCTCCAGATGCTGAACAACACGTCACACCCCCTGCATGACACCCTGGACTCTTACTGCAGCACCTTCAGTCGTAGACTGAGACCACCGAGGTGCTCCACAGAACAACACAGGAAGTCCTTCCTCCCTGTGGATATCAAGCTTTTAAACTCCTCCTCTTTTCTGCACATAGGACAATAAAATTAATCCTGCACCACAACAATAAACTCTTTAATGTTTCTGTATTAACCTGTTTTAGAACTTAATTGTTGTTATTTTTATATTCTGTTATTTTTATATCTTGTGTTATTCCTTGTGTGTGTTCCTTTGTACTGAAACTCTGGCACAACAATTTTCTGCAGGATCAATAAAGTTCTATCTTATCTTACATAATGTATATGCATCACCACTGAATAGTTTGTCGACAGGCGTATAATGTGCCGTATGCAGTACTCTGGTCTTGTAACATGTTTGGTTTGGTTAAAGTTTTTGTGCGAAATCCAAACCCCTCCTGGATGAGTGCTGTTTTTTTCTGAGCACGTGCCAGTTTGCTTGACCTCATTGTGTGAATGTTTATGAATCATTTACACTATGAATGTGATCCATTTTTCTCCCGTACGTTTTTCAGCATTTTTCTCGTTACACATTTTTTGTGCTATTTCAACAGATCATAAATGAAAACGTTCAGCTCGTTCAGGAAAAGGGTGCTATGACTTTTTTGTATTGGTGCAACTTTAGCTTTTGATATATTTACTTAGCCTTTTTTTTTTTTTTGGCTACTTCTTCCTCAAAGGAAATGAATTGAGCTCGTTTTACATCCTTCAACTCTTTAGATCTGTTTACAACCTTTTACTGCTCTTTTCACATTTTGTTCTGCTTCAGCTTCCCTGGGCAAATTTACACTTTTTTCCAGCTACTTTCAGCTGTTTTTTTCATGTTTTGTGCTCGTTTCAGGACCTTTAGGATCTACAACATTTGTGTGCTTCTTCTAACTTCTTTCCACTAATTTCAGCTAGGGATGCACCGATCCACTTTTATTTTTCAGTTCATACTCTTTTATTTTTTTTTTTTTTATGATTGTCTATTCAATTCAGTTTATTTATATAGCACCAAGTCACAACAGAAGTCATTTCAGGGCACTGAACAGAAACATTAAAATAAGTTAACAGAAACATTCATTTATAAAAATAATAATTTAAGACCATTTATCTGAGCAGACTGCTTTGAATTTAACTCCATCACAGAACTCTCTTTTTGATCTGATAAATATCTCCTGGAGGGTAAACTAAACTATATCTTGGCTACAAATGTTCAATCAAGCTTCGAAGCAGGCAGTCTGATTTCAGTCAGCCACGCTCAGCCTGCTTCTCCGAGACAGGCAGACTGAGCGCGGCTGACTGAAATCAGACTGCCTGCTTCGGACTGAACGAGAGGAACACACAGCTGAAGCCACAGAGCTTGAACGTCCAACTTAAAACTAACTTTACTGCGGTGCCTGGCTAAACAATCCTCGTGCTCTTTAATGTGTCCCTTTTTCAAAGTTTATTAAGTTCGATGTATTGTAGGTCCCGACCAAGCTTCCCCCTCTCGGTACAGCAGCTCTGCAGACATTACACATTGCTGTCTTGCAGTGTTTAGTGTACTTCCACACAGCGGACATGTTACGGTGAAAAGTTGGTTAGCCGTTAGAAATTGTGCTACTCAGTCCTCAGCACAGCCGTATAAAAAGAGTATTTACTCACATTTTAGCTGGCTGCAAACGATGAAATGGATTTCCTGAATGTGATGCGGGACTTATTATTCTGGGTTTCATGAGACGCCTCAGTTCAGGAAATCCATTCCATAGTTTGAAGCCAGCTTGCAGAGCAGCAGGCAAGGAATCACGAGAAGTTTCCGCACAGACATGCATCTTGGATCGGAAAAATCCGATATGTAAATTATGCTGATATCAGGGCCTGATACCGATATTTCAGCTACTATTTAGCTGTTTTATGCTAATTTTAGCTTTTTCAGATAATTCCACTTTTGTTGCACTCATTTCAACTTTTTTCAGCTTAATTCAGCAAAAAAGTGCTCTCTCCACTTCCTTCTGGTAATTTAAGCTTCTTTCTGCCTTTTATAAGCTACTTTTCAGTTAGTTTTATGCTAATTTCATATTTTTTTCAGATAATTTCCACTTTTTGTGCTCATTTCTCTTTCTTTCAGCCTAACTGAGCAAATATGTGTTCTTTCTGCTTTCGTATGCTAATTTAAGCTTGTTCTTTTTTCAGCTAACTTTAGCATATTTTAGCCAATTTAAACTGTTTTCAGATTAATTCAAGTTTTTCATGGTAATTTCTGCTAATTTCAACTTGTTATGCTCTTTTCAGCTTTTTTATGCTAATATTAGCTTTATCAGCTAATTCCACATTTTTTGCACTCGTTTCAACTTTTGTGATCTGCCTTTTGCTGATTTATGCTTGTTCTACATTTTCAGCTACGTTTCAGCATGCTTTTTGTGCTAATTTCAGCTGTTTTTCAGCAAGTTATTCTGCAATAAGCATTCACACATTGCATTTTAACAGGAAATGCAGTTTTTCTAGTTCATTTTTGCATTGTTGATGCTCATTTCCTTCTCTGCAGAGTTTCAGAGTAAATTAACTGTAAATTCAATGTTGATGACTGAAGGATTGTAATTTAATAAAATATAATTTAAAACCTCTCACATGGCGATGAGTGATGTACATTCCTAGTTTCACTTTATCTTTTATCAGTGTTAATATCTTTTATCAGTGTTAATATTTCCAGATAACAGAAATGCTCACCCCCTAATTAATTTATGTTTTTTTGTTGATGACTGTTTTGTGGCAGGAATTGCTGGAGACTGGAAAAACCACTTTAACTCAGAACAACTTTCCCGGTTCACATCTGTGATCCACAAAGAGCTGGAGGGAGAGAACTTCTGTCTGCCGTGGAGCCTGGATTGACCAGCAGAGACAGAAAGAAGTCAGAGATGAAATGAAGTCCTCCACAAGCCAGTTCAATTTAAACAAATAAAATTAGGAACTGCAGCTAAGATGTACGTTTAATTGTTGAAGCATGACAATAAAACAAACTTTTTAAAGTTTCTTAATATGCAGTCTCACTTTTCAAAAGTAATTGTGTTGATTTGTTATGTACAATATCATAAATAATAAACTTGTTTATGGCAGAATGGTGCTATAACACTGGTCATTTGTATTTGTCATAACTTTGAACCGACACCAGTAAACCCAATGTTTTTGCTGTCTCATGCTTATAACAGTATGACGCTCTGAACAAAAATGTATATTTAATTTTTCCCATTTAATTTAAGAACTTTTTTTTTATTATAAGTGGAAGGAATGATGGCACAGAGGTTAGAGAAGGCGAGCCTGTGATTGGACGGTCGCCGGTTCAACTTCCCGGACCATCAGCATCAAAATGTGGGTGGGAAAGGTGAAGCACCCACACCTGCCTACACTCTCATTTGCTCCACTCTGGGCCCTTGAGCAAGTCTTCTCCCCCGGGTGCCCTAGATAGCAGCTCTCTGCTCCACACAGAGAGCTGCAGTAGCTCGGTGTTCTGTGGTTGCGTCAGGAAGGGCATCTGGCAGGTCTTCGTGCAAGTTAGCTATGGCAACCCCCAGGGAAGGGAGCAGCCAAATGAAGAAGAAAAACCCAGCACTTTTTAAATACAAAGCTGTGGGATTCTGTTTGTTCTCCTGCACTACTGCGTTTCTCTTCCTTGTTCAGCTCTCGTCACACCTGTCTCCATTTCCAGGTGTTTGTCATTACATCTCGCTTAGTGTCTGCATGGACAAAGGAGGAATGAAGAGACACGGACTTTATATAATGTCCTGTGAAGGCTTTCATGTTCTGTGTCTGGGCCTCTTGTCATCTCCTCCCCAAACCTAAGCTTTTGCTGCGAAGGCCGGAAGTAGACAGACGTGCCCAGAAGAGTTGGCGCAGAATTTAAAAACTTTTTGGACTGATTATCCATATTTGACACATTTTTTTGGACATTGGTACAGGCGGAAATGGGCATAAACTGGTATGTGAACGGTTCGGATGGAAACAGGTAGGAGACCAGGCAGACATGGATTCTGAGGGGTGAACACCGGTAGGTAGAGGGAGAGGACGAGAAGGAAATAAATGAAGGAAGGGACGAAGGACAGCCAGGGTAATTAAAGAATTGAAAGGGAGCAGCTCGTATGAAGAAAAGCAGCGTGCAAAGTAAAACAGAGATGTCCAAAGTGTGGAGAAGACCATAGGATAGAAGAATGTAAAGAAAAGAAGTGTTGTAACTGTGGAGGACAATAAAGAGTTACATATGGGGGTTGTGAAGTGCGGAAAACAGCAAAAGAAATCCAACAGATTAAAATAACTAAAAACATCACATATGCAGAGGCAGTCAAAAGTGTTAAAGGAACAAAGTCAGAAAAGAGACAGGACAAACAGTGAGACAAGACAAGAAAGACAGAATAAACAGAGAGACAAAACCCACAACAAAGTACCAGTAAGCAACAAACAGAGCAAAACATCACAATGCCAGTAGAAAACTTAATATTATTCATAGCAAGTGTCATTAACTGCACTGACCAGGCCAAACATAAAACAGAGAAAATTAAAATAACACAAACATAAAACAGAGAAAATTAAAATGACAGTGAGAGGAGCTGAAAAGTTTTTGGGGTTCAAAGAGGAATCTTGGGCAAACATTAACAAAAAGTTGGAAACAGATGGGAGACCAGGAACACCGGGTGACAATATATGATTATACTACAATGGAATGCAAGAAGCTTAATTGCCAACGGACAGGAATTTAAAGATTGATAGACTTGAAGAGAAGCCAAACATTATTTGTATACAGGAGACGTGATTAAAACCAATATTAGGTTTTATTATTAAAGGATATGATAGTTTAAGAAGGGATTGACAAGGAGGAAGTGGAGGAGGGTGTGCAATAGTCATAAAACAAGGCATGCAGTATCAAATAATAGGAAAATGTAAAGAATTGGAATATATAGTAATTGAAATTTGGGGAAGAGAAGGAAATTGTAAGATAATACATTTTTATAATCCATTTTAAACATTGTCACTGGAGTTGATGGAAAAGGTGATGGAATATTTGGAAGGGAGAGTAATATGGTGTGGGGACTTTAATGCTAACAGCACAATATGGGAGAATTATAATGATAAAAATGAACAGGTTATCGAAGCAATGATGGAAAATAAAAATGTAATATGTATTAATGATGGGAGGGGAACAAGACTAAATGTAAAAGCAGGAGCAGAGTCTGTCATAGATTTAACAATAGTATAAAACTCACTGGCTGGTGTCTGAATGGGACATTGATAAAAACACAACAATCGGTAGTGTCATTATCCCATTACAATTAACGCGGGGTTAACAATAAATTACAAGAGTATAAAAATAAATAAGAAATGGAATTTTAATAAGGCAGACTGGATTAAATGTAGATATTTGAGTAAAAATAATCTGGAAAAAGTCGACATGACAATGGATGTAAATAATATAAATGTATGTATATTCTGGACCCCCCACTAATTACAGCACACCAAATGACTTTAAAAACGCCTCTGGGCTCCATTTTCTGCATGTAAACGCTCGTAGCCTTCTGAAAAAACTTGATGCTGTGAAAATCCTGGTCAGTTCTTCTGGGGCAGATGTTATCTTTATTTCTGAGTCCTGGCTCAACAAATCTGTAATGAATAATGACGTGGCAATCAATGGGTTTAACATCTACCGCTGTGATCGTCAAAAAAGGGGGGGTGGAGTCATTATTTACATTAGAGACACTCTGGTTTCAAGTCTTGTGACTTTCAAAACAATTCCAAACCAGTTTGAAGCCTTATCTGTAAACATCACCTTGAATGGAGGCCAGGTTTTAACTGTAGTCTGCTGCTACCGCCCCCCCACAGCTTCACCTGAAGCATTAAATGCCATTAAGGAATTCCTTGGTAATTTAAAATTCAAAGAGATCTTTTTGGCTGGAGATCTCAATATTGATTGGTGTAAGTCGACCCCCCTCTGTGACAAATTCAAGGAATGTTGCTTGTCTTTTAATTTAACCCAACTGATCGACTCCCCCACCAGATTAAATAAAAGCCATCCTGACAATTCCTCCATCTTAGACCTGTTTCTAACTAATATGCCTCACAAATTCCCTGGTACAGGTGTATTCGCTGATCTTTTGAGTGATCATTGTGTGACAGCGGCTTTAAGAAATAGTAAACTTCCACCTTCTAAGCCCAGATTAATTAAAAAAAGGGATCTGAAACATTTCTGTGAACAGTCATTCCTCTGGGATCTGTCTCACTTTGACTGGCATCGTATTCTGTTAACTGATGACGTGAACTCTGCTTGGAACTATTTCCATAATAATTTCATTTATTTCCTGAACTTACATGCTCCTTTTCGTCAGTTCAGAATAAAGGGACGAGACAGCCCCTGGTTTACTCCAGAGCTAGCTGACCTCATGCACAGGAGAGATCATCTTTGGGCTGCAGCGAGAAAATCTGACTCAGACACTGATTGGTTGAGTTTTCGACAGATGAGGAATAAATGTACAACTGCTGTTAAAGCAGCAAAACGAAACTATTTCTTATCTCAGACCTCCAAAAATCTAAATGACCCTAACAGATTCTGGAAAACAATTAAATCTCTCTCAGGCAACCCCCAATCATCTGACCTCCCATCACAACTTCTCGTTAACTCTGCTCCTGTGTCAAATAAGCACGAGATCCTGAACTGTCTCAACAAACATTTTGTTGCTTCTGGTTCTTTATTTGACACAGTAACTAATGGAAAATCAGCCACTTCACTTAATAACCAAACTTCTACAAATCAAATCCCTCCTACAAGTCAATCCTCAGTTAATCACACCTTCTCTTTTTCTCCATTCTCAGTCAGTGAGGTTAATAAACTGTTAAAAGATCTTGATCCTAAAAAATCTGCAGGTCCAGATGAACTTCCACCTTATTTCTTAAGGCTGGCTGCTCATATCATCACAGTCCCTGTGACCCACATCTTCAATCTCTCCATAAGACAAAACTCCATCCCAGACACTTGGAAAACAGCCTTTGTCCTTCCTTTGCTGAAGGGAGGAGACCCCACCTCACTGAACAACTATCGACCAATCTCTAAACTCTGCATTTTAGCCAAGGTTCTAGAAAAACTGATAAACTCTCAAATCAAAAATTACCTGGACTCATTTAACATCTTACCTCCACATCAATCTGGTTTCAGGAAACAACACAGCACAACCACTGCTTCACTGAAGGTTCTTAATGATGTTGTTGAAGCACTGGATGCTAAGGATTATTGTGCTGCACTTTTCTTAGACCTGTCTAAAGCTTTTGACACTGTGGATCATAACATCTTGTGTCATAAACTCTCAGAAATCGGTTTCTCAGATCACACCATTGGTTGGTTCTCTAACTATCTTTCAGACCGGAGGCAATGTGTTCAACATAATGGTACTTCCTCCAGTTATTTAACAGTCAACAATGGTGTACCACAAGGCTCAGTCTTAGGACCCACCCTCTTTACAATCTACATACATAATGTAGGTAAAAACATCCCTAATGCATCCATACATTGCTATGCTGATGACACAGTTGTTTATTGTCGAGCTAAAACTGTTGCTAAGGCTTTCCAGCTTCTGAAATCTGCATTTAACTACATCCAGACTGATTTGTTTCACCTCAAACTTGTCCTAAATGCCGAAAAAACCAAAGGGATGCTTTTTTCAAATAGGAAGTTGGTCCCAGCAGTTCTTCCTCCGATTTTATCCTCAAATGGTGTCCCCATTGAGTTTGTTGATTCCTATAAATATTTGGGTATCTTGGTCGACTCACATCTTTCTTTTAAGCTCCATGTGGAAAACTTGGTAAAGAAACTGAAAGTTAAACTGGGTTTCTTTTTCAGAAACAGATCCTGTCTA